TTATTACCAAATTTATTATTCTCAGTTCGTGCTTCGAATATTTTCGACTTCATGTCGTAAACGTCGACAAATTCCTCTGATTAATTTTTAATTTTACCTATATTTTAAGTAAATCAGATGCAACATTGTGACAAATGCTGAGAATTCCATTCTGTATTACAAGTACTGTTTTTGGAATAAAGGAGATTATTATCACCTACACTCCTAGTGTGGTGGGAGCTGTCTACTAGGCGACCTGTGGTCAGTAGATGTAATGGGACCTTTTCCACAAACTTCCAATGGCAATCAGTATCTTCTGGTCATGACAGAACATGCCACACGATGGCTAGACGCAGTCGCGATCCCTCGTCAACGCGCAAAAACGATCACAAAAGCAGTGGTGCAACACATCGTTGCAAATCACGGTGTGCTAGAAGCGATATTGACAGACCAAGGTCCGTGTTTTGAAAGCGAAGAGTTTAAAGTCCGGCCGCAAGAGTTAGGTATCAAGAAAATTAGAACAACGCCATATCATACACAAACAAACGGACTGACGGAGAGAAATAACCGCACCCTGAAAGAGTGGCCGGCCACAAAGGGCGGTAACTGGGAGACAGAGCTTCCACTGATTCTGCTAGCACATCGTGCGTCCGCACAAGAAACGACGAAGAAAGCACCGTTTCAGTTGATGTATGGGAGGAAACCACGAATACCGATACATAACAAGACCTGGCCCCTCCATCAGCATTGGAGTATGACGAGATGGTGGACGGAGCGGATAGAAGCTATCAACAACGTAAAACGAAAGCAGAAAGTGGACGCTGTGAAAGCCGAACTGAGGGTAAAGGAGAAGTACCTCACATTCGAGATCGGACATCAAGTCAAATGTAGAGACAGGCGAAACACCGGTGGATACGTGCCAGGGTCGCGGAAACTGCTACCAAAGTGGGAAGGACTATACACGGTCACCGCGAGACGGGGCACGCATATACCATCAAAAATGCAAACAGAGAGAAGCGGGTGAACATCAGCGAGCTCCAGAAATGGATAGAGCGAGACAAGCCAACGATGACGCCAGCACCAAGAAGATCAAGTCGACTTCGGTCCGTACTATTTGACAGGGGGACGAGTGTGGTGAGAGCCGTCTACTAGCCAATTGGTTGACAGTAATTGAGGTCAATGTTTGTGTATCAAATATTAGTCATTTTGTGGTGAGAGATTGTTGCTAGCCAAATTGGTTGACAGTAACTTAGGTCAAGGTCAAGATGGACAGTCGGATACAGTTAACATATAGATGAACTGACACAGCCACAAGAGATGCAAGGTTAACTTTGTATGAGAAACAACCATCAACAGACTGTATTTTCTACTAACATTAACCTACAATAATGTACATCAAAATCTATAAGTACGTGTTGATTTTCCATAATAAACGTTCTGCTGCCTGACCCTTGTCTTCTGTTGTTACACTAGTCATTTTGTAACATGTTTAAAAACCTCTGCGTATTTTGTCAAAACTGCCGCCATCGACTTTATTTTGGTGAACTGTGAAACATTCAATTCACAACATTTACCATCATTTATAATAATAATTTATATTTCCTATAAACGCGTAAGTTTGCAAGAAATGCATGCCATTTTTAAAGGCACGACCAGTAATGTTATAAATTACAATCCTGAAGTATCATAGATGAATACTTTTTCAAAAGTTTAAATCGTTCAATTATTGTACAAGCAATCAGAACAGGTTCTCATAAATGCTAAATTGTAGACCGTTTACTAAGTTCACCATCAAAGTTGAGCGACAACCCAGACTTCGTTCCGTTTCCTGCTGATAGTTATGGTCAACCAGTGAATAGCGTACATCTGGGTGAGTGCGCAGCTGCAAAATGGAACTAGGTACAAAAATGAATAATACATTATTGGAAGTATATTTACAAGATATATACAAGAAGAAGTTATATAGCACATGGAATGAAAGTATACCTTTGCAATGTTTTATGCCAACCATATTGGTCTAAGAATGGAATATATGATGTTTTCGATGAAGATATAGCTTTGTTCAAACATCGGTGTTGTTGTGTTTTTAATCAAAGCAACCAGACTTTGGGCAAGCAACAAATATGAACAAAGAGCAAGTTTTAGCTTCAATAAAGGCCTAGGTATTTAAGATCAGAGTATAATAGTGAGTAAATAAACAGATCATCATGATGTAGGTAAGTGATAATAAGTGAGGAGTGAATTCAAAGATCTAGAAAACTAGAATCGGTAGAACAAGCTGACCTGTAAGATGCCTCACGAATTTATGTAGGGCCCAATGGGTAGCATCTTGACAAGAAGCTGAACAGGCTTGTAGACGGTAGGAGCAAAAGCACTTTTTATTACTAATTTAGATCTGTGCAGCCCTTTTATTTCTTTTATTGGGGGTCCAGACTAATGTTCACTTCTCGAGCTGTCAAAAAATGCATGTTGCTGTCCTACAGATTGGAGCGATTCACATTTGTGACCACTACCATATCTGCTGATCAGCATGCGCCACCCTCCCTCCTTTTTGATGTTAAGCTGTGCAACTTTTTGCAATAACCGTAGTTGCAGTATTGCATTGCTTTGAGCCCGTCCCGTTCATAAAATATGCTGTAAATTAATAGCTATCATGACAGACGCTTCCCATTAAGTCACCAGATACATACACACCTGAGGACATTCTTAGCAGTATCCTCTTTATACATGTATACATGCATGCAAGTATTTTTTATAAACGACTAGGAAATTGCGTGTAATTTAAAAAGTATAAAGTATAGAAGTAGCTTGTATTACAGCAACTAAGTTGTACTCTATTTAGCAGAGCTAAATGTGTAGTGGAACAATTTGTGATAGAATTATGTAGAAGGATCCTGAAGAAAACACCTGGTTAACAGAACTAGCTATACAAAATTTCCATTTTAGAAAAGTGTATGAGAAAAGGTAGTTATTGACTGAGTAAAGTTATCTCGACAAAAAACATTGTATTATTAACTGAATATATATATATATGTAAAATATTTAAAGGCGTGGCTGCTAATATAATTATTTCCAGAATTACTTATACCAACACGACTTAGTGAAGATTACAGAGAATAGAAATCAGTAAATTAGTTAAATGTGTGCTGCGTAAGTAGTAGAGCCGAGTTATATGTAACTGACTAAGCCGAAGACTGGACGGGCTTTCATTTACCATTTTACCAACAGTTGTGGTCTTTTAGACAAGCTAGAGTGGACATGTTAATGTGTCTTTCTAGGCTACGTTAAAACCCATCGGGGTTTTCACAACACCTAATTTCAGAAGATAGTTGGTTCCAAAGAGTGCAATATTTAATGGTGAAAATGTTTGCCCTAATGGATTTTCTGTGGGTAGCCACCTTGACAAGGTAGTCAAGGTTTCGCAGCTGATATGATTTGATATTTTCCCACGTTATGGATGAGTTATTATAACAATGTTTCCTAATGACTTTGAAGAGTAGAAATAAGTTGCACTTCACTCTCCCTAACCACAGAGGTTCTAATTTCAGACGCATACGCCTGTCAACATATTCCACTGGTTGGTCAAACCCTATTATGCGTTTCGTTAGGAATCGCTGGACACTTTCGATTTTTTTTCGGTCTGCAGACCTCAGGTTACTATACAGGAGAGCACAATATTCAAGTTTTGGGCGGATACATGTTCTATGGACACTTATTGACCTGGAGTCTCAACCTATCATCCCTGGCCAGAAGTCTGAATTTGACTGCTTTGACTATTCAAATTCAAATAATAAGGATTTAGCGTTCTTGTTTCCTGCGTTAATCCTTGCAATATGCATATCTGCAGAGGTCTAATTTCTCTCTGAAAGTGTTCAGCGATATTCCTATTAGTGATGAATCAGGTGTTAAGTTTCAGTCAATGACGACTTTGTGGGAGAATCTAAATATCACACGTATTTTACTCGACTTCAGTTTGAGCATATTTCTTTGGTGACCTCTTAACTGTATCATATAGGGGAGGAAAAGGATTAGAAAGGCCGATTCTTAAATCGCCCTTTGGTATACTGTACGTCACCTTTCCTCCTGTGGTATGACAATGGGAAGGTATTCAAACGCTCCATCCTTATGTTACCAGGAAGGTGTGGGTTGCCGCTGACTGCTTTGGTCCCATATCATTTGACTACTTCTTGAAGCGTGTACCCACCATTTGTATGCAGTATTCTTAACGAGGCCTGACAATGTTGCATGAATTACTTAAACATAGATTCGTCTAATCGTTTGAAAGCTCCTGGAAGTGCCCATAGCATAGCTGAGGTTACATTACAATTTGTCGTTGTTTTTAATTCATGGCTTACAGTAATTCCTTAGTTCCATTGTCCCTTAATATCTGGTAGTCCTTTGTGTGCTGAGGAGTATGATGTGTAGGACGTCAGAGTGACTTCCTATTTCCATCTCTTTCGTAAGAGCTTATATTAATTATTTTTTCTAGTTTCTAATAGCTTTATTTTAATTTAATAAATTTCTTTACTTTCCGTTGCATATTTTGCTTTTGTCAAGCCCACACGGCCTACACCAATTGGTTCCACATTGGTTTGTTTATTAGATGTAACTAATATGGAATTACTTACTGCCACAGTGCCCAATTTTTACACATATATTTCCCTTCAATTTTGCTGTCCTTGGAATTTTTTACCCGTAGATCAGGATACTGAGTTAACCATAAAAAGCTTTAAGCGGACACTTTAGAATCATGCAGCGATATATGGACTCTGCGAAAAACGGCCTATCTTTTTTTACTCAATCAAACTGATAATCTGCATACACATAGATTCATCCTAACTACTGCCTATTCTCCCTTGTCAAATTCTTCTGACTAAGCTATTTTCATTTTTCCAAAAAAAGTAATTTCAAGTTTCACTATCTGTCTGTTTGAAGATGCTTCTTCGTGTTTTCAGGTCTGCATAATCTACACTTATTCCGCCTTGTCACCTCTCTATATCGTAGAAACGACATTGGATATTGCTAACTGTTAGCGCACAATTTGAGCGGAACGTTACTTCTGTCATTTGAATGGTTGTCTTTGTTGACAAATGTCGAGATCCGATTTCTCTTTGTGTGATCTTGATTAATATCCGGTTTCGATAATTTCAGGTAATTGAGTTTCATGACGTTGAGTTTAAATAATGTTATTCAATATCGGTTAATTTATAAATAACCTGTAGGCAATGCCAAAACTCGTAAATTTTTTTAACGTAATGACTTTTTTTCCTTGCTCAGAAAACTAAAGAGTAGCTTTTTTCTGTCTTTACAATGTACTTGATACTTGAAGTATATATTTTTTTATAAACACAGCTGGAGTGTATACCCAGTCGGTGAATTTCGCCAACGTTGTCAAGGTGTATTCTCTGACTGGGTAGGTTATATATCTGGATTGGATTGGCTTATAGAACATATAGTGCTAGCTAGCTAGTACTAGCTTAGCCTCAGGAATGTATCCTCCTCCGTTCTCATAGGAGCGTGTGCTGGATAACAGAATGTCGTATGTCTCATTTAGCTGCTTACTATGTCTTACTCAATGAGCCAAATGTTATTTTCTGACTCACATTCATGAATCTTTTCGAAGGATTATAACCCAAAACCTTCATGGATTATAAAAATCAACTGACAAATACATTGGTTGAAGAAAAGTTAATTGAAGAATTCGTGGAAGTACCGTAATTCGAAATTTAAATTAGGCCGAATTCAATCGGAAACCTTATCTCTTGGACACAATTTGCATTTCCTCAAGAAGCACATCAGCCGGATAGACATAAACACTATTTAAACACATACCATCAATTTTCTGTCTAAAAGCTTGTAAACGAAGACAATGGGATGTGTGAAGGCAGCCAACCGACACCCACATATCACCATACGAGAAATAGAAAGGTGTTGACCGAGGAGCATGAAATAGCACCGAAAAATCTTTAATGAAGATTATGACATCATCATGTTTAATCCTCAAAGGCTCTGACTTTCTTATAATAAAAAAAACTGGTTGTGTACACAGTTCTAAGCTATCCAAAAATATTCCAGGTGGATAAAACAAAGGATATAACGATGGCATTTAGAAATAGAGTAAATAAATGAATCAAAGAACTCCTTGTTAAGAAATTGATCGACAACGGAACCTGTAATGAACTCAAGTCAATAGCTGGACGCCTACCGTTTATGTACGGTATACCCGAAACCTCTGAATTTAATATACCTTTAAGACCCATACTGTTCGTGATCATTTCATAATACTACAAGCTAGTTCTATGGTTAGCCTATTTCATGGACTCCATTCAAAACAAATTTGTCATCTATAGCGTGAAAAATGTCCAATTTTCCAAAGAAGTAGATCATTTCGATATATCAAATAAACTCACAGTATCGTATAATGTGACCTTATTTCTAAATATACCAGTGGTGGAGACAGTTGACATAATTTGGCAACGAAGGAATTCGCCATTACCCGAAACAGAGATAAAGCGTCTGTTGATTTGTACAAAAAACATTCTTTTCAAATTTAACAACCGGGTTTACAGACAATTTGATATGATCGCGATGTGTTCACTTCTGGGATCTATTCTGTTTTATATGTTTATGGCTGAACTCTGATATCTATCCAACAACCTACTATCGCCGATGTGTTCATAATACGTTTGATATTTGTGGCAGTACGAATCGCGCATCTTCATTATTTGGCAGTCTCAATTAGATTTAGCATAACACTAAATTCACCAAGTTTGATCTTTCTTCATTGAAATTTGTTAGTGAACCGCACTCACAATAATAAAGACAGTTTTCTTTCTCGTGTTGTTCTAATAATGCATCTGAGTTGAGCACAATTTATAATGTGATGTCAAAACAAAATTGGGAAACCAAAGGAACTGTAAACTATGGATTCAATGCATGCATTTCATTCGGAATTTATGCTGTGAATTCCGCTTCAATCTTCTTGTATAGGTTCTTCGGTCGGGTTATTAAAGGTGACTACTGTAGTTTAGCTTCGCCATGGAAATTAATTGGATTATTACTGATGACTTGCAGCATGACCCTGAGTATTCACTTAGACTTCCTCCACTGAAATGTTTTTGAGTTCCGCTGATAGTTCCTGCATAATGTTTGCTATCAGTTTGCGTTGTGTATATGGTTGAGCTGGTTTTAGGATCGGTGTTGTTCCGAAACGGGTGTAGTACTCTGTCTACCTCTTCTCCAATTTGGAAGGAGTAGTATCGATGAATCAAAACCTCAATCTTATATCTAAGCCTGATGCAAACGTGCTTAACTTGTCCTTACTTTTATGTTACCTACCTAGCCAATTGGGCCTTTGACTTTATATAAATTCTTGCCTGTATCTCTAATCTGATAATCAAGTCTCTTTTTGGGGTATGAAAAAGTAACTCAATAATATTTTTTTAATGGTGCTCAGTGCTGGTTGTTTTCCTTAAGTCATCCTCACTGTCGTTTGTTTTGTTCGCTATAATTTAACCTTAACTCAAGCATTGCACCGCAATCTTACCCCTATGGTATCTATTTAAATCACAGTCTTTCAGGACGTGTTATCTTCCACTCTTTTTCTGATAAAAGCAGATCACGTTCAGCCAATCGAAATAACCGCATGAAAATAATACATGGGAGTTATATAACGCGATTAAATGGGCGAAAATAAATTTTTAACGTTAGCACTCATACTAATGTTGAATCTAAATCTAATCTTAACACTAATCCCAATCCTAACCAACTTAAACTTGAGGTTACTGTTCAAACGAATTCTAAACCTAAAAGTATGTCAAAAAATCAAGATTAAATTCCAAATTAGCCCGTGAATACACGAAATGAAATGGTTTCAGAAAGGGTAACTATATGACTAGTTGTACTATTTCATTTATTAGGTCACCCTCTTGGGTTGTGGCACTGTTTTTACTTTTAAAGTACTCTCTACGAGTGTTGTATTTAGTATCAGACCTACTTCGCAACAAATTTTTTCCGTCTTGTGCAGTCGATTACTTGAGAAGTCTTAAAATCATATTAAGTTTTGACAAAGAATCTTTTTCTATATGGAAGCTGAATAGGAATTAAAATACTGCCTGTCAATGTAAATCTGTGCATATGGGATCAGGTGTTTATCAAAAGCCATTGCAATTTCCAATGAACTTTGGAGGTTGTTATATGACTAGTAACAAAAGTCTAGTGTGCAATATAACTCGATTCATATTTTTTATATGATTTACTCTATTCTCGTGCTTTGAATGCTAAATGAAGATTTGTGCATTTTTGTGCAAAGTTCTATGTTGAAATCAGTCAGTCAGTCGGTCATTTTTAAAATGTTATAGTCTGGACATAACGGTCGTAAATGCAGACAGTCTTGTCAATTCGTACAATAATTTAGGAATCAGCATGATTTATAGGCATTTTTCGTATGCTTGTGTTGATGCTAAAACCTCTTTAGGCCGGTAGTAAGGCCAGTAAACAGGAAAGGTTGTGCATGAACCTAGCAACCCCACCACGTAAAAATAAAACCACTGCTACTGAAACCTTAAAAGCTGAAGCTTGAAGTCCTATGGTCCACTCAGAACGTAATGAAATAAACTCAATAAAAAATAAAAGTGTGTTGACGTTATCTTTTGATCGTAAAATCTGTAAACTTTCAGCTTAGCTTAAAGATTTTAGAATAAAATACATTGTTATTATCGTTTTAATGGCTTTTTCACACACATTGCCGCTCTTAAAAAACTTTTTTCCATACTGGATAAGAAGCGACCTACTGTTATTTTTGTTGTCTTCTGCTTTCAGTTAACGAAATTTTCTTTGAATCTTTTAATTAAGTGTTACCAGGTAATGGAACAGCAGCATCTACACGTTATCCCAGATAACGTTTTGCTACACTTGTACACGTAAGCATCTTTCTATTACTGGTAAAACAGTTTTTCAGACGCTTTATTCTTAATTTATCCGAAGAGATAAAACGAGAATGCACGAAAAATTTCGTTAGGATATTTTTTGAAGTCGAACGAGCACATTGGTTCTATGTCGACTACTGTATTGAAGATCCATCTGTGGGCGGTGTTGATATGTTTGGCCTTACACAACAGTGTAAGTATTCTTCAATAATGAATAAATTATTCATTAGTATTTAAGAAGTTTCCATGTATTGTACCTAAGGGAATAAATTGGCAAGAAAAGTTTGTTGAGTGGAGAAAATATCGTGGATCCACATGTACCGGGAGTGTAATAATTATTGATGAACACTACAAAATGGTAAAAATGCATATTGCTGATATGTTTTGCAGATCCTTTTAGTCCAGGGATTTTATGGCAACCGTTGGAGCCTTCCGGGTGGTAAAGTAAATCAGAATGAATCGCTTGTCGATTGTGCTGCTCGCGAAGTAGGTTTCATATAATAATTATTTATTAAGTAGGTTATGGAAGAAACAGGATTGGATCTGGGTAATCGTATATCACCATCTTTGTATATCGATCGTCATATTGGGGGTTCCTTAAGACGAGCATTCATTGTTGAAGGACTACCAAGAACATCTCGACTGAAACCTGGAACAAAAAATGAGATCGAAGCTATAACCTGGTTTGAAGTTGCGGATTTGCCAATACATATCGAAGATACTGCAACTATAGAGAAATTGAATTCTAAACCGAACAACTTCTTCTTGGTTATGCCGTTCGTCCTGTAGGTACCTGTTTCGGTGTACTACTACTTTTATGTCGATTTCCTGTTATGAGATCATTCAACTAGATTTTCTGATTATTCCTGTGTCACGTCAGCAATCTTTGAATGTAGTCTGACTTAAGTGGTTAATAAAAGAGATAAATCAGGAAACCTATGTGAGTATATATTTATATATATTGGGAGGTGCGACTACTTAAACAAAGTGAGAAATATTTTATTCTTCATTTCTATCCATGGAATTCTGAATTATCTGCTAAGTGAAACTGTCCGTTTGCCATTGAAGAAACTTTAAAACTGAAGTGTATTATAACTCATTCGTATACTGAGTTACATGAAACTGTCATTTCTCTGGTGTTTCTTGCCAGGAAGTGGTAGAACTCATTGTAATTGGTTTAATTTCGAACACTGATCCTGTTGATATTATGTTGACTGCTACTATTTATAACTAACTGTTTGCCAATTTGTGACTGTTAAACATCCAGTGGATGTATCTGTTGCATATAATCATTGGATTACATTCTCAACTCGGAACTGGTAAAATCTATCTTAACCTGTTATGTTTCCGAACACTGATTCTGCGGGTATAAATTGCCAATTTGTAACTTAAACACATTGAGCAGACACCTATAACTTATATCTATAATTCTATATTTTATTGGATTCACATGCCCAAGTCAATGGAGTCTCTAGTTTACGTGTTATTTTCGGTAATTGCGTTTAACAGTTGTATTTTTGCTACGGCTTTTGTTGTTGTTGTCGCTGCTTTTCCTGTTGTGATTCATCGTTCTGATTGCTTCATTTATTATTTTCCTGGTTCTAAAGGGAGCAACCCAAAAAGTCGCTCCTCTGTAACTTACGTCTCTATGTAACAACTCACTCCTCCGGCGTAAGGATTGCAAGTGAGATGAACAGATATGTTATTGAAGTACTGGGAATATATGAAATCAGATGGAATGGGAGTGGACTTACCAAATTTTCAACGGGAGAGTCAGTAATCTACTCCGGTCACCCAGAAGACAACCACTAGCTCACCGAGAGTGTGTCTATTATGATGTCACCAACGGTAACGAAGGCCCTGATACAATGGGAGGCGATCTCACCCCGGATGATGACCGCCAAATTCAACTCAAAAGGAAGGATAGTGACAATTATACAATGCTATACACCTACAAACAACGCAGACCTAGAAAAGAAAGAAGAGATCTACAGGCAAGAATGGACAATCCTCCAGTTGGTGACATTAAAATCCTAATAGGAGACATGAACGCCAAACTGGGACCAGACAACACAGGAAGAGAACCCATTGTGAGTCAAGAAGCACTTGGAGAGATGAAACAAAACGGAGAATTCTACGCAGACTTCTGGGCCTTCAATGAACTAGTGATTGATGGCAGCCTATACAAGCACAAGAATATCTACAAGTCTACGGGGTTGTCGTCAGATGGGCGAACTGGAACGCTGATTGACTTCATCTCAATGCTGCTGAAGGAAATCGAGACACAACTTATATTTATTATTTATAATTCCCTTGCATTCCGCCTGTAGTTGAAACGATGATTCCTAGTGAAGGAAGTGACCTCTCCCGATGATGGTGATTGGTGCTGATTGTTGTTGTTGCGGTTCGTTGGTTATCTTCATCACCTCCGTCTTCTGTGTGCTCACCTGCAGTCCTGTCTTCGCCAGCTGCTCCTTCAACCAGTTTGTTGGTTTTCGCCTGTAATTCTTCGAGTTTGTGTGATATTAGACATATATCATTTGCGAAATCCTGATCTTCTAGAGTCTTCAGTGTTCTTCAGTCGTTCAGCGTATTCCTGTCTTCTCACTCCCAACTCACAGTCTGACGCATAATCTAGTCGACCACAACTAAGAAAATCATCGGTGATAATAGGCAGTCGGACTTGTCTTACTCCTGTATGCACTTCGAACGCCTCACTGAGTTTCCCGTTGTGGATTTTGTGGCACATGTCACTCTGATATAGTTAGTTCTTGAATGAGGTTGATAAAGATTTAGACACTGCACGCTGTGGTGTCGAAGTAGTTTCCAAATTACGTGTCGATCAACGCCGTCTGTGGAATGGCGTTTCGAAGTGGATGAAGGAATTTGAGGTAGAGATTTGACTGCCATTCGATTCTTTGTTGTATGACAACGATGTAGAGAGTTGTAATTTGAAGAGCACAGGATTTGCCTTTCGTGATAACAGCTTGTTCTGGTCGGCGGGGCGGAGTTTTGTATCCAGTGCATCGTTTATTCTCTCCAGGATGATGCGACTTAGTATTTTACTTGGCGTGGACAAGGGCATGATTCCACTTGAGTTCTCGCAGAGTGAGGTGTAAGTCGCTCTTCTTTGGCAGTTTGATGAGATATCCTCTCTGCCAATTGGTGGGCACCATTCCAAACTGTTTGCAGTAATGGCGTGAGCAAGTCAACGTTAGTCTCTGGGTCCGTTTTCAGTGCTCCGGGAAGGGGGAATTCCGTCTGGTCGTGCTGCCTTCCTGACCGGCTTTCAGTGCCTTGATCGCATTCAGGATTTCTGCTTTCGTTGGAGGAGTGGTGTCCACTGGCAAGCAGTTCCGTGTGTGCTGTTGGTGGTGGTGTTTTTGGGCGAGCTGCCGGTGGTGGCCGATTCAAGAGTCCTTTAAAGTGATCAGCCTATTGTTTGAATTGTTTCTCCTCCTTGGTGATCAGGTTCGCTTGAGCATCTTTTATTGGTTTCATCATCTGGGTTGATCTGTTCCCGGATCGGATAGAGACTTTGTTATCTGATATAGTGTCCTGATGTCTCCTTTGCTTTAGGACTGCCTGTTCTGCTTCAGTTGGCAGGCAGTGTGTTGTAGAATTGTCGTTTGTCTTTTCTAGCACTCTCCTTTTCTTCTTTACTCAGTGCAGTTCAATGTATTGAACTCAGCTTCTCCTTCTTCTGTTGTCCATCTTTGCATTGAGTCATCTTCCCTTTCACCATCCTCCTCTCCTCTCCTTTCCTCGACTAGCTTGCAGGTAGGTGTCCGTAGAGAGCCATTCCTTGTCTTGTCTCCTCTTTCTTCCTAGTACAGTTGTACACGCTTCCTTGAATATCGCCTTCAGAGAGTTAGTTAGTTCCAATGTTCTTCCACTCAGGCTCTCTCAGTGATGCCACGTAGTGTCTCCGACGTTTCTCTGATCTGATGTGTAGTGAAGGTGTCCCTTGTGATTTTGTCCTTCAGTTTCTGAATGTTGAACTTGAATTGTGGTGGTCTGTCTCCAGTTGTTTTCGGAGTTTTCAGCTTCACCTTGTAGGTCGCTTGAACTGGATGATGGTGTGAGTGAGTGTACATCTGCTCCCATTCTCGACTTAGTATCCAACAAGGTAGCTGCGTCTGTACTTCCTTGAGGAATGTTGAGGTGAAGTCTATCTGGTTTGTGGTGTGTCGATCAGGTGAAATCGGTGTTGCTTTGTGTTTATCCTTGTGTTTGTACACGCTGCCTGTGGTTACCAGGTCATTGGAAGCGCAGAAGTCTGCGAATAGTGCTCCGTTCTCCGAGAGCCTCTCGACCGATGTTGAGTTCTCTTCCTGTATTATGTGCTCCCAGCCCTGCTGTCATTCATATCGCCCATGAGGATTTTGATGTCACCATTTGGGATGTTGTCGATTACTGTTTGTAGTTGTTTGTCTGTAAATATCCTGCTTCTTTTCTTGTTCCGCGTTGTTTGTAGCACTGTGTGTAGCATTGCGTGATAATTGTGACCTTCGTTCCTGCCTTTTGAGTTGAATCTTGCTTTCATGATCCTGCATGAGGAGATTGGTTCCCACTTGATTAAGACTTTGGCCGTCACTAGTGACATGGTTGTAGCCACTCACTGCCTCGATGTGTTCGTGGTTGTCTTTTGGGTGTGCATACATGAGTAGATTCCTGACTGTGCAGTTGACAATCCACGTGTTGTCAATCCACATGCATTCCATCTGCACTTGCAGATACCCAGTGCTTATACGCCATATGTTCGCATCTCTTTGGCTACCTGGCCAGCCTTCCCAGGCAGCCTTGTATATAATACGTACATTCCACGTTCTCATTCTTATTCTTGCGGAGGCAAATCAACAATAATGAAGAAACCAGCGTTGAAAAGCATTGGAGCAGCCTGAAAGCGGTGTATCGTCAAACCAGCAAGGAAGTTTGAGCATAGAGACAGGACAAACAGTGGCTCAGTACGGACACGTGGAGACTAGTTGAAGAGAGAATTATGATCAAACAAAAATTTATCCAATGCATCGAGGAGCAACAAAAATAGGAGTTGAATGCAAACTATAGTACACTGAACAGAAGAGAACAAATAAGTGTCAGGAGAGACACAAGAAAATATTGTGAAGCTATGGCAAGTAAAGCAGAACAAGCTGCAGGCCAAGGGGACTTCGAAACACTCCACTTAACAACTAGGTTCCTATCTGGGAAGAGATCAACACAAATTAAACCACTGAGGGATGACAATGTAAAGTCAATCAGCAAAGAGGTGAAGCAAAGGAAACACTGGACCGAACACTTCGAAAAACTTCTAAATCGACCGCCACCTACAACGCGCCCAATAATTCCAACAGCGGAAGCAGAACTACCAGTGGACATCAACTCTCCGACGAAAACAGAAATCCTGAAGGCACTAAAGATGCTAAAAGCTGGAAAAGCAGCAGGACCAGACGGAAACTCAGTGGATGCATTGAAAATGGACCCAGAGACATCAACGGACTTGACGACACCTCTACTGGAGAAGGTGTGGAACGAGGGCAAGGTACCTGTGCATTAGAAGAGAGGCTACCTATTCAGACTACCAAAGAAAAGAGACTTAAGTCAATGCAGGAACTGGCGCGGCATGATGCTCCTGTCCATTCCACGCAAAATACTAAGCCGCATCATCCTAGAAAGGATCGAAAACGCCCTGGATGAGTAACTTCGACTGGAACAGGCTGGATTCATGAGAAACAAGTCATGCACCGATCACATCGCAACACTATGGATCATCACTGAACAGAGCTTGGAACAGCAGTTAGCTCTCTACTTCAACTTTATTAACTTTGGAAAGGCCTTCGATAGCTCAGCGTCGATCGATAGGTGATTTGGCAACTACTTCGCTATACCAAGTGGTGCTGCCAACAATTATACACCTCATCCAACAGTTGTATGACAGTGGTGCATGCCAAGTAATTGACAACGGGAAAACTCACGGAATCCTTCGAAGTGAAGATGGAAATAAGACAAGGCTGTCTATTATCTCTAGTGATATTCCTGATTGCAGTATACTGGATAATGTGACAGACGGTGGGCAGCGAGGAAACAGGCATAAAATGGACCCACACGAAAAACTTGGAGGATCTGGATTTCGCCGATGATATTTGTCTGATTCCCCACAAACTGGAAGATATGCGAGTGAAAAGCAACAAGTTGGCAGAAGAAGGAACGAGAGAAGGTAGGATTTCAGGCGGACATTGAGAAAACAGAGGTGATGAAGATTCCTGGCCAACAGCAACATCAACAACAACTGACAACAATCAGCATAAATGGGAGAAAGCTGCCTGGGAAGCATCGTTTCAACTATGGGCGGAACTGACGAGGATATCAAAGCAAGGATCGGGAAAGAAAGGCAAGCTTTCATTTCTCTCAAGTGTATGTGGAGATCAACGGCATTCAGCATGAAAAACAAGATGCAAATTTTCAACTCCAATGGGAAGTCAGTGCTTCTATACAGACCAGAGACTTGGCGCGGCGTCACGAAGGGCACTTCGGACAAACTACAGACTTTCATCAACAGCTGTCTTCGCTCACTACCACTCAAGATCAGATTGCCGGCCAGAAAAGATCAGCAACAGGGATCTCTGGGAGCGAACCAACCCTGCAGGAACCGATTGTTCGACAAATGAGCAGGAAGAAGTGGACGTGGATTGGCCATACACTGACAAAACCATCAAGTGACATCACACACCAGGCAAGCAGTGAGTTGGTTGTCGGATGGTGATAAGGAGGAAGTTACGCTAAGAAGAGATGAAAGCATGTGGGCAGATGTGGAGCCGGGTGAAAACGTTGGCAGAGAACCGAACGCGATGGAGACGTGCATCTGAAGCCCTATGTTCCTCTAGGAACTAAAGGAGATAATAATAATAATTTTGAATACCAACTCTACATTATTTTAGTGTATTACCTGTACAACCCCTAATTCATTTAATATTTCCAGTTACATTAAGTAGTAGTCAGATCTAATTGTCTGTTCACTGGATTGTTAATTAAAATCATTTAACAGATAATATTGCTGAGTGTTTGCATTCTGAATAGAATGGTCATGCATATAATTTATTCTGCACTTACCAAGTTACGGGCACATGGATTTCATTTAGTTACGTTTGAATTCAGTTACCCGAAGTAGATTTGTTATGTAACCAGGTTGTGAGCTGAATTTTTCGTGATGGCTAACCAGATAACCAGAGAGAAGTAGGCAGCAGCAAGATTCTGGATCTATCGGCTGACAGTTGGTGCTTAAACCGATGAACTCTTATATTCTGTAGTGTAGTGCACTGGTGTCTAATTGGTTACTCAGTTGTATCAGTATATTTCTACGGCTAAGGAGCGTAATAAACTTCATAAGTGATGTTATTACGAAGACCGTGGTCAATGAATTGAATTGCTGTGTATATGTATCATTCATGTTCATATTACTTTCCACTCATAATTAAGTGTGCTAATCTTATGCAATATATCTAGTGGATTTAGAAGTTTAATTTTATAACTTCTCTACTCAATGTATGTAATGAATATGTGCTACTTATTTCGTAAGACTGCTATATGATTAACCTAGACAAATATTAACTTGAGTTACTGTGCTTAACACCCAAAGCTTAGGTCGGTGCGTTGTAGCACTCTGTTTTCATTTATTTTGCTAATAATGTCGTCCATTAGTACAGGTTTATCACATAGCCGCCATATGTTTCTTTATCTCCCTTCGAGTTAAAGGGTTATAACCATTATTTGTACAGCTGCATTTAGTTTGCTAGCCGGACCACCTATCTAATTGATTATTTAAGTGCAATAAGATTTTCTTATTACTTTCATATTGTTCTATCTAATTATCACTATATTCAGGGTGTTGGGAATTCTCATGGGATGTGATGTGATTTAAGTCAACGAAGAGATCTCTTTTAGTAACTCCTTTTCAAAGCTGTACAGTTATTTATAGATTTGGTTTATATATAGAAGATGCCAGTGAGTTTCCGCTACTTCATCCGAACTGATGGTGATGAACTGAGCAGCGAAAGCTGCTGAAATGTGAACTGACAAAATGTCTTCACAATGACCGTGGGCAGTGGTGGGCGAAAAAAGCAAGAGATGGAAAAGGCATCAATGACAGGTAAAGCCAGACAGCTGTTTAGACTTACGAGGGAAACAGGTGATAAAAGGAGAATGACAGGTGAAGTAATCTCCGAGAAAAATGTCACCCTGATGATTGTAACTTGATTTCTCTATTTTTGTGTTCTAAATGTGAGAACTTCTGTGCAAAGACTTGTATTGTTAGGTCGGGCAAGCACTCAACTGTTAATAAGCGAAGTTTGAATATTTTGATTGATGACGAACGACTAATGATAACGTGATAATAATGCCTACCTCTTGGTTTATGCAGATAATAATGTCAGACTGACTTAGCGAAATGATTGACCAACATACAATATCAACTAACGTAATTACACTGGTTAATTTTTTATTGAGCTATTAACCTGAATGACTTAATTTTGTTGTGACTAATGGTAGATGTATAATTATAGACATAGGTTGTACTTTTTATCAACAGTAATCAGAAAGGATTGACTAAAATGTTGAGAAAATTAATTGCCTATCCGTAGACTAATTCAACCGTACTGAAAGTTAGTTACAGGAGAAATAACCCCAGTGGTGAGATATTTAAGTACAGTCTGTGATAACTAGCATTCATGTTACTGAGACAATTTTGCAGTAAAATGCATAACAGATAAAATGCTACCTAATGAAGAAATCAATAAAAGTTTTTGATGAATATGTATTGTTCACACGATAACTGATGTACCAACAATTCTTCAGGTAAGTGTAAGGAAAACGTTTTCCTTCATGAAGCTAACACAGAGATAAAGCTAGCGGACAAATATATATATATATATGTATTCAAAATCTAAAATCATATATTTTTTGTGAGTTTTCTAGAAAAAGGATAATGTGACAATATATAAATAACGACGACACAACTTAGCTTTTGTTAAAGGCTTTCTTAATCTGTTGTTATTAGATGGTTGGATGCAATTGGCAAGAGGCCTTGGAGCTAGGTTTTGTGCCTGCTGGCACTCGTCAACTACGCCTATCTGCAATCTTGAATGAACTGATATCTCTTCTGAGATCCGAGTCTGTGTCACCCAGTGCTGCGGTCAAAGATGTTACCACTGAGCCGTTACGAACATACTGGATACTAGGTAGTAAATTTGCTGAAATACAAAATGATGCAGGTATTTGGGATGTCTATCGAAAGCAAACTGATACGAAATAAGATTAAAAAAAAGTATCTGTCAACCAGTTACGTTGAAATTAGTTAGTATTTATGCAAAGTAGTGGTTATATGCATTGTGAACTCATTTAAAAAAATGGAAAAATGAATAAACCATACAAAACCCACAAGAGGATAACAATTCATTTTTATAAAGCGATAACTCGGGGATGAATATTTTATTCCATACTCTAACACAATCAAACTAAAAGAACTTGTTCTACATTATATTACGTAATAAACAGCTAAAAAATATATATATTGATAGTCTAAACCTGTTTGTGACAAATAACACAAACGATTTTAGGTAGCCAAACACAGAAGGCTCAAAATCAAAACAGCAGTCAAGCAACTGCGGCAGGCGAAATTCGAACGCGAGCCTAAAACGATTTTAAACAAATTAGCTTTAACATTAATCAATTGACACCATTTTTCCTTTAAACAAAATATCTAACTCCTAAACTAGAATTACTTTCTATAACAAATCACAATTCTTACAAGTGCAGTTTGCAGGAAAAGTGGTTGCCTGACCTATCAACGTAAGTCTTTGCACATAACTTTTCATATTTAGAACACAAAAATAGAAAAATAATAAAAATTACAGTTAGCGGAAATAAACAGTAGGGAGAATGATTAGATAAAGGTTAGTGACGTTATTTATTTGAGTAAACCATATTTTGTTCCAGTTGATACTTTTATGCGCTAAAAATTTTTTTGTTTACAAATTTTTGTTGTATGTTTTAAATTTAGGCAACTAAAATTATACATAGATCAACGATTGCTTGGAAAATCTTCCGCAGATGCATTAACAGAATCACAACGTCTTTGTGGTATTTCTGTGAATGAGTGCCCCACTTACCCTCAGCATTCAATAGGCAATTCGCTAAATTTAAAGGTGAATGCCACAAGTGCTGCATTTAGAAAAAAAAGAAAAAAAAAGAAGTCAACTTCATTAATAAGCTGTTATAACTGTTTATCTGAAGACGGTGAAAAATCTAGGTAGTGTTGCATAAAATTAAAATGTTACGTTATATCATTAGTCTGAGAAATAAATAATTTTCAAGAGTTGATTTGTAAGGATTAGATTTATTTGTCTAGTTTGCCCATGGATTGATATCAGTTAAGTGAAACGAACGAATTTTGGTCGGAGAACAAGCAAAGTGAAGCTACCAGTAAAATAATTATAAAATTATGCGACAACTAAAATTTTTTTACCACTCAGATGAGCCCTAGTTATTGTGTAATCACTGAATTTTCTGCGATTTCATGGTTGGTATTTTCAAATTAGCTAAAGGGTTCATCTTCACCCATCGACTTCATAAGTCACAGCATCCTGTAACAAGTCAGATAAAGGAAGATGATAGTGATTGAACACTTAATAGTTGTCTTTTTGTCTGGATATTTTGCATTAAAGTCACCTAGTCATCAATGGTTCATGGGTCATTGAATGGGGTCCCAGTCGCTGAATGGTGTACTGGAAGGTCCTGGGTTCGAACCCCAGTGGGTGCGTACTGCCGATGATTCCCAAACTAGGTTGAAACAGCTGTCCAATACTCCCTGGTTTTCAGTGGTTCCCTAGCTGATATCAATCCATGGTCAAACTCAAAAAATTAATAATTGTTTGAATTAGTAGTAAACGTTTTGACTCAGAATAATCACAACAAAATGCCAATTTATTCGAACAAACATAGTCCAGCTGTATGTACCAGATCGTAATGTACGCTTGTTGTGCTTCATGCAACCTGTTCATCCACGCCAAAATTAAGACAATAGGTTTCGATTTATCAAAATAAAATTCCATATTCGTTATGTAAGTCTGGCTGAACTACTGTACATGGTAGAATTAACCATTTAAGTGTGAGTGGCTAATGATTCACAACTAAAATAAGCCAATCAAGTATATAGTTTAAAACAGTATATTAGGATTTATAAATGCTTAAAAGACTTCACTTAGAAACATAAAAGTACCATCGAATGTTACTTAATTGTAAGTAAATGTGGAAGCTTAACTATTCCATGAGATTGTTAAATTCAATTTTAGATTTTCCCGTCGATTCAGTGTGACGAAGTGCTCGCTCTCAAGTTGACATTTCGAATTCTTGTGCAAATACTTCGACGATGTGTGTGCACTGCGCAATGCAGGTACATCCGGCCAACGATTCTCTAATAGGACGAAATACGCATCCTGCATTCAACTGCTACCCACCATCCACCAATTAACTTCTCGTGAATAAGATGTTTAAAAGAATTTCACCTCTTCCTGTGACAGAAATGTTTGAGTATCCTTGACTCTACTACAATGGTGATCTATAATTCAGTTCATAAGCCCGTTTATGCTCGATGAATTCTGTAGAAAAGCAAGAATGATAACATTCAACCAGACTAGCATTCAATATATTGATACGTTGTACTTAAACAAAATATCCTGTCAAGATCAAGACCGAATAGCGAATTATTATTCTTGTGTCCTCGGGTTCCAAGTGGAACATAGGGCTTCAACAACACATCTCCACTCTGTTCTGCTTTCTGCCGTCCTCTTCATCTGAGTACACGATTGGCCAAACGCTCTCATCTCTTCCTCATTCAATTTCCTCCACGTCACCGTAGGACGACCCATTCGTCGCTTCCAATTTAGATTCCACTCGACCAATGGCCTGCATTGCGCACAATGTCATTCGACAGTCTCCTCAGTCTCCACGCATGCCCGATTCATCTCCATTTACTCCTACATATTTGTTGAGTGATCGGTTCTTGGTTGGTTTGTTCCCAGCCAGAGTTTCTTGTTACTAATTGTTTCTGGTCAGCCGACTGGCCATTTGATCTTCAGTATGGAGCCAGGGAAGTGGGCAGCTGTTGATGAAAGTCTGCAGTGGCCTGTTGGAAATCCTTTTCGTGACTCGCTCGCCAGGATTCTGACCCGTATGGCTTGTGTTGAAAATGCGAACCTTGTTTTTTATGCTGAGTTAGTGCAGAAGATTTCCAAACTGGTCTCAGGTTGATGAAGGTGTATCTTGCCTTTCCGATTCTGACTGGCTTTGACATCTTCATCCGTGCCATCCGCCTGTAGTTGAAACGATGCTTCCTTCCTAGGCAGATAAGTGAAGGAAGTAACCTCTCCCGTTGATGGTGATTGGTGCTGGTTGTTGTTGTTGCGGTTCGTTGGTTATCTTCATCACCTCCGTCTTCTGTGTGCTCACCTGCAGTCCTGTCTTCGCCAGCTGCTCCTTCAACCAGTTTGTTGGTTTTCGCCTGTAATTCTTCGAGTTTGTGTGATATTAGACACATATCATTTGCGAAATCCTGATCTTCTAGAGTCTTCAGTGTTCTTCAGTCGTCCAGCATATTCCTGTCTTCTCACTCCCAACTCACAGTCTGACGCATAATCCAGTCGACCACAACTAAGAAAATCATCGGTGATAATAGGCAGTCGGACTTGCCTTACTCCTGTATGCACTTCGAACGCCTCACTGAGTTTCCCGTTGTGGATTTTGTGGCACATGTCACTCTGATATAGTTAGTTCTTGAATGAGGTTGATAAAGATTTAGACACTGCACGCTGTGGTGTCGAAGTAGTTTCCAAATTACGTGTCGATCAACGCCGTCTGTGGAATGGCGTTTCGAAGTGGATGAAGGAATTTGAGGTAGAGATTTGACTGCCATTCGATTCTTTGTTGTATGACAACGATGTAGAGAGTTGTAATTTGAAGAGCACAGGATTTGCCTTTCGTGATAACAGCTTGTTCTGGTCGGCGGGGCGGAGTTTTGTATCCAGTGCATCGTTTATTCTCTCCAGGATGATGCGACTTAGTATTTTACTTGGCGTGGACAAGGGCATGATTCCACTTGAGTTCTCGCAGAGTGAGGTGTAAGTCGCTCTTCTTTGGCAGTTTGATGAGATATCCTCTCTGCCAATTGGTGGGCACCATTCCAAACTGTTTGCAGTAATGGCGTGAGCAAGTCAACGTTAGTCTCTGGGTCCGTTTTCAGTGCTCCGGGAAGGGGGAATTCCGTCTGGTCGTGCTGCCTTCCTGACCGGCTTTCAGTGCCTTGATCGCATTCAGGATTTCTGCTTTCGTTGGAGGAGTGGTGTCCACTGGCAAGCAGTTCTGTGTGTGCTGTTGGTGGTGGTGTTTTTGGGCGAGCTGCCGGTGGTGGCCGATTCAAGAGTCCTTTAAAGTGATCAGCCTATTGTTTGAATTGTTTCTCCTCCTTGGTGATCAGGTTCGCTTGAGCATCTTTTATTGGTTTCATCATCTGGGTTGATCTGTTCCCGGATCGGATAGAGACTTTGTTATCTGATATAGTGTCCTGATGTCTCCTTTGCTTTAGGACTGCCTGTTCTGCTTCAGTTGCCAGGCAGTGTGTTGTAGAATTGTCGTTTGTCTTTTCTAGCACTCTCCTTTTCTTCTTTACTCAGTGCAGTTCAATGTATTGAACTCAGCTTCTCCTTCTTCTGTTGTCCATCTTTGCATTGAGTCATCTTCCCTTTCACCATCCTCCTCTCCTCTCCTTTCCTCGACTAGCTTGCAGGTAGGTGTCCGTAGAGAGCCATTCCTTGTCTTGTCTCCTCTTTCTTCCTAGTACAGTTGTACACGCTTCCTTGAATATCGCCTTCAGAGAGTTAGTTAGTTCCAATGTTCTTCCACTCAGGCTCTCTCAGTGATGCCACGTAGTGTCTCTGACGTTTCTCTGATCTGATGTGTAGTGAAGGTGTCCCTTGTGATTTTGTCCTTCAGTTTCTGAATGTTGAACTTGAATTGTGGTGGTCTGTCTCCAGTTGTTTTCGGAGTTTTCAGCTTCACCTTGTAGGTCGCTTGAACTGGATGATGGTGTGAGTGAGTGTACATCTGCTCCCATTCTCGACTTAGTATCCAACAAGGTAGCTGCGTCTGTACTTCCTTGAGGAATGTTGAGGTGAAGTCTATCTGGTTTGTGGTGTGTCGATCAGGTGAAATCGGTGTTGCTTTGTGTTTATCCTTGTGTTTGTACACGCTGCCTGTGGTTACCAGGTCATTGGAAGCGCAGAAGTCTGCGAATAGTGCTCCGTTCTCCGAGAGCCTCTCGACCGATGTTGAGTTCTCTTCCTGTATTATGTGCTCCCAGCCCTGCTGTCATTCATATCGCCCATGAGGATTTTGATGTCACCATTTGGGATGTTGTCGATTACTGTTTGTAGTTGTTTGTCTGTAAATATCCTGCTTCTTTTCTTGTTCCGCGTTGTTTGTAGCACTGTGTGTAGCATTGCGTGATAATTGTGACCTTCGTTCCTGCCTTTTGAGTTGAATCTTGCTTTCATGATCCTGCATGAGGAGATTGGTTCCCACTTGATTAGGACTTTGGCCGTCACTAGTGACATGGATGTAGCCACTCACTGCCTCGATGTGTTCGTGGTTGTCTTTTGGGTGTGCATACAGGAGTAGATTCCTGACTGTGCAGTTGACAATCCACGTGTTGTCAATCCACATGCATTCCATCTGCACTTGCAGATACCCAGTGCTTATACGCCATATGTTCGCATCTCTTTGGCTACCTGGCCAGCCTTCCCAGGCAGCCTTGTATATAATACGTACATTCCACGTTCTCATTCTTATTTTTTATTCCATTGAGCTGAGGTGTATCGGCTGAGTGACTGGCTTCTCGCCTCTTCGATTCGAGCGTGGAATGAGATTGCTTTTTTAAGTATTGGTATCATCAATATATTTTCTATGCGTTGAGTTTTCTCTAGCAGTTTCAAAGATTAAGTGGTGTGAGGTTGTTAGTCACACACTCAACCCCTCTCTTTACCCCTGCTTTGAACCGGCTAGAAAATTAGTTAGCTAGGCGAGATTACCCAATAGTTTATACTATAGTTACATACTTTTTAATCTAATTTACGCCTATTGAGATATTGGTTTAGCGTATTTTGATGAATAGTTTATAAAACAAAGATGATTTTTAAACGAAATGGATTTAGGGCATAATTTGAGAGTGGTTAAATTTAGAAACTGGTGCATTCAATATGTAAGAATTACTCACCCGACTTGAATCCATGTAAGTCGATTCAAATCACTGTAACTAAATAGCGTCAGTGAATGGCATTTATAAATTTTTAAGCAGTAGTAATAATAATAATATCCATTTCGAATTCAAAAGGAAGTGCCAACGAGACTGGGATTGGGTTCTCTACTTGCAGACTGCTCCCTGACGTATATAGAAAGTAGGACTTGAAAGTTTTTATATATATGGATGCAACCTTCGTCATGTGTAACAAAGATTCCTGATATTTTATCGTTTCGTTAGAAAAACTTGTGTTGCATTTATCATGGAATTACATTTATTCATATTTAACTTTTTCTTCTTACTCTTTTTGGTTTTGTTGTAGAGACCAAAGAAACTGTAATAATATATCCACTTCTGCTGAATCTAAAGTATGTGGGGGGTCTAATGTTAGGGTTTGTAAATATATGTGTTGTTTTGATTTGATTTTTTTTTAAAATTGACTTTTTCCATTTCTGAAGTTGACTAAGCTGTAGACTATTTGTGTTTTTTATTTGTGATTAAAAAGGTAGGATTAATAAATTTTCTTAACGAAATTATTCGATTATGAATAAGTAATTTGACCTTCATAATGAACTTAAACACGTTCATAAGGTCAGTGGTACTATGTACCTCCCTAGTGTGTAATTCTACAGCTAACTTGAATACTGTTCATTTTTTTCAACAGATACTTATGAAATGTGCTTCAAAATTTCTATAGATAAAGCATCCATTTTCTCTTGATTGCTGTGTTAGTGGTCGTTTTGGCCTCACCACCTTGTAGTAGTTTATTTGTAAATGTCTTCAAATAAAGGCCTTCAGATATAGAAGACTGAATAGTCTAATTCAGTATGGTTTAACTAGCTGGAATGTATTCAAATGATCGCATATCCATGGTAATGATGCTTCGAGATGGCGAATTTCTCTAAACTGTCTCACTTCTGCGAACATTCAAATAGATGACAGTGTTCCTTTCATTTATGGAGAAAAATGCTTTATCTGAAAATATGGCAAGTATGGAAGATATGTATTCCAAAGTATGTTATAGAACGGAAAGGTGATTCGTAGATTTTTATTTAAACGTGTATTCCATAGTCCACTATCAAGTGATGAAAGCTTTCAAAATTTTACAAAGTCTAGAAGTTCAATGAATAAAACTGCACGAACTATGTGAACTAATCAAGTGGGATTGCGACACTACAACACCAATTATTATTCAGTCAGTTTCCGTACTTTTTTCTAGTCACCATCCATAAGTAAAGTTATTGGCTATTCATAAAATCCTACATCCCCATCTTATTGTTAGATTCACAGAATCGAAGTTAGCTCTTCATGTAGTATGTTCTTGCATATATGTATATATATATATATATATACATATATATGTGGATATATATATATATAGGTTGTGGACCATAGTGTTTATTTTTGTTTGTTTGTTGAATCTTCCTTTTCCTCAATTTTTACCCAGGTGAAACTTTTTTTCTTATCAATGATGGATACGAAAACATCAAATATTCAGAATACCCGCAATAATAATGATAGTACTAATGATGCTACTGAACTGCAACTGGCAACATGTTGGCAATCACTTCAGCTTGACAACAATAAACTGCTGGAATGTCTATGTGGTGATAAAATTCGATTGAATTCTAAATAAAGAGTGAACGCATGATTTTCTTGAGTTTGGAAAAGTGAAAGGAAATATAAAATAAACAGGAAAAATGATATTTTGTCAGATTATTTTTAAAAGAAAAGGCATTTTATATTATTCCTTTATTATTATCGTTCATATCATCGTACCATAAATATACATATATATATTTCTGTGTATAATTTTTAATAAACCAAGTCATTTTCAGATTGTCTTTTTAGTACTGACCAGTTGTAGATACGTTTCATTGTTTTTCAGAGCTTATCAGTGGCATGTTGCAGGGTGTACTCCACCCTTGAGTTGGTGATAATCAATTACACGTTACTTGAAGATATGAGATCAACTAAAGTTCATGCACTATTAATAGGCAGTGTAAATAAAAGCAGTTAAAGTAAAATCGAGACGTAGTTAGAAGCTATGTTTCGTAGTCCAACTGACAGAAGAACTAGATGGTAATATGAAGGTCTCTAGTTTGATAGTACAAAGTCAAAGAGCTGTGAAGCTAAGGAGATTATGGGGATAACGAGACAATGTTAAATCGTAAACATCCAAGAAGCATGGATATACCAATGACCTTAGAGTGAACGACTGAGATAAAGAGAAAATTTGGGAACTTAATATATCCCTAACCAACTCCAATATCTCCCTAATTAAGCTAGCGTAACCCAACGTGTCCCTAGCCTAAACCCTGATCCTAGTCTTTTGCTAACACTAATCAGATTTCCCGTTTAATATCCCTACACTTTTTCCATGAATATAGTGTTATTTACTCAGTTTCACTGCCTTGCTAGGGCTGAGCATTCCAAGGATATTGGTACGTTTGCGCCTGTTGCATACTTATTCGTTAACATTGCTGAAAAAGATATCCTCTCTATAGAAATGTGAGTAGCCTAACGTTTTTATTGGATCTTTGGAAACAATGAACTGAAGATCTGGAAAACTCTGGATTCAATGATGAGCTGCGGAATCCGGCACATTTCTCTCAACTTTATATTCTATGAAAATATATTCCCATAAACTTGATTTGGAAATTGTGATGTGGTACACTGTAGCTTGGATAATAACTGCAGAGTCTTAAAAAAAGAAAATGTTTAACCTTCATTATTTTGTTGATTAAAAACAATATCATAGAGAAAGAAGGTCATTGTGTACAAAACAAATAAATTAAGTCCATGGTGAGGTCAAATGTTAGAGGCAAAAAATGAATTAATGATAATAGAAGTAAGAATTAAAAATGCACAAGAATAGTTAGAAAGAGTTACAAAAATTACTAAAGGGAAAGACAATTTTTGTAAGTTGCCTCGGTTATTTGCAGTGCAGATCCTTCATGTGGCTTAAGTGAATAAAAGCTTTTGTTGATACCTAAAATTTCAAAGTGTTAATTGTGTAATTTTAAAGCATCGCTTTATTGCTCAAAAGACATTCCAATAGTTTTTAGAGTTAAGCCATTAAATGTGTGAAGAAAACTATTGAGTTAAACAAGTGCTCCATCGTTCTCTCAGTCATGTCTGTTCGTTACAAAATCTACCTCGAAATTATTATCGCCTAATTCACTATTGACGTGTGCGATTAGAGTCGGAGTAATTATTCATCTACCCGTTGAACAGCTGAGCAGTTTATTGTGAGTGTTTGAGAATAATATTGACGCGTGGAAATATGTACACTAAGTCACGAGAAGATTGCTGATGTAATATTTTCAGTGTTTTGCATTTTGGAAGGCTGAAATTTTGTTCTTGTTGGGGACATTCACTTGATAACTTGCGATTTACTGCAAAAGTTAAATACAGAGTCAATGAGGGTTGATCACACAACTCGAATCTCTCTGGCTCATCATTAACCCCTCAAATGGTTAGCAATGTGCCTTTATGTATCTCTTTCTTCGGCTGATTTCAAAGAGCTATTTTTGAATTTATTCAGTAAGCTGTTTCCTATTCTTGTTGATAAAATATTGCTTCCGGTCTCTTGTTAATGTGTATAATATCCTGTGCAGAGATATGGAAATGTCTCACTACGTAAAAATAAAAGATTACTGTCATAGATGTATCGTGTATTTCTTAAATACACAAATAGGACTCAAGTCAATTATTCACTTTAAGAGTGTAAAAATTTTGTTCATTCCCACCTTAGGTTATTCTGACTTTCCACATTCTATTTTCATGGGCCCAGTGGTCTGAATGTAACAGTTAAGTGGATGGAGGCTGTTTCGGGTGATGTACTTGACTTCCTTATCGACGGAGAACTTTGCATGAGAACGCATCAGTTGAAGTTGACAAACTGAGAAAGCATACATCAAAGTATAGGAAAGAAATGCAATGAAGCTACAAAAATCTGAGATATAAGAGGAACATTACAAGCAGTAAAACTTACTCAACTCTGCGAACGATTCTGAGCCATATAACCTAGATACTCCAAATATTGCTACCTAACATTCAAAGAACCACAACTAACTAGTTCACACATCTCTGTGTAGCTTTGTCTAACAGCTAGTCACTTCATGAATTACCATCATGACCTCATCTAACCACTACTGGGTGTTTTCGAAAATGAGTCAACTTCGGCTAACATCTCCCGTTAGACTAGGCGGTGACTCCTCATTCTAATGATATGCCCTAGCCAGTTCCGTCAATGCAGGTTAACTTAAATGCTTTCTTTTCTTATAGCTTTACACCTAACTTCATCATAATTGATCATATTATTCCGCTTAACGAGAAAGACTCAAAGAAGTAACTCATTGTCAAAACGGTCTAATTTTTTCACATCAGTTTCCAGGGGTCTTGCCTCAAAACTTTAGAGTAAGACTAAATGAACTACTGTGCAGAATACGCACCTTTCGACCGGTAGAGGAATACCACACTTACACTAACGATGATGCAGGTTGGCAAACTACGAATGAGTCTTTTGTATAACTACCGAGCTTTCATCAGCGACTAGTTCACTGCAGCTGATACAATGGATTTGAGCTAAGATTCATCCCCTAACTATACACGCTAGTCCTGTAGCATCCTATAAAACCTGCATAGGGCGAATCCCATAAAAAAATAATCAAGATTTTGCAAATACTACATGTTGTCGTCCTCCCCAATGAGGAATATACAATTCAGGTACACCAAACCCTCTGGTGAGACATAACCACTGGAGACATCGGGATAATCATCACCGATGCTGTTGTTATCGTACTTATTTTCAAAAAATCCCTTATCATTCTATTTATTTTAATTGAGCTTTTACTATGTTTATAAATTCACTTGACAAGTATATGTGCGATCAGATTGTTCTGAATCTATAGCGCCAATACAGCATATTACACATATAATGTTAATATCCTAATATTATTGTTATCGTTGTTCCCTCGGGTTCCGAGTGGAACATAGGGCTTCAACAACACATCTCCACTCTGTTCTATTTTATTCCGTCCTCTTCATCTGAGCATAAGATTGAGCAAACTCCCTCATCTCTTCCTTACTCAATTTCCTCCATGTCAACCCCATTTGGATTCCACTCGACCAATGGCCTGCATTGCGCACAATGTCATTCGACAGTCTCCTCAGTCTCCACGCATGCCCGATTCATCTCCATTTACTCCTACATATTTGTTGAGTGATCGGTTCTTGGTTGGTTTGTTCCCAGCCAGAGTTTCTTGTTACTAATTGTTTCTGGTCAGCCGACTGGCCATTTGATCTTCAGTATGGAGCCAGGGAAGTGGGCAGCTGTTGATGAAAGTCTGCAGTGGCCTGTTGGAAATCCTTTTCGTGACTCGCTCGCCAGGATTCTGACCCGTATGGCTTGTGTTGAAAATGCGAACCTTGTTTTTTATGCTGAGTTAGTGCAGAAGATTTCCAAACTGGTCTCAGGTTGATGAAGGTGTATCTTGCCTTTCCGATTCTGACTGGCTTTGACATCTTCATCCGTGCCATCCGCCTGTAGTTGAAACGATGCTTCCTTCCTAGGCAGATAAGTGAAGGAAGTAACCTCTCCCGTTGATGGTGATTGGTGCTGGTTGTCGTTGTTGCGGTTCGTTGGTTATCTTCATCACCTCCGTCTTCTGTGTGCTCACCTGCAGTCCTGTCTTCGCCAGCTGCTCCTTCAACCAGTTTGTTGGTTTTCGCCTGTAATTCTTCGAGTTTGTGTGATATTAGACATATATCATTTGCGAAATCCTGATCTTCTAGAGTCTTCAGTGTTCTTCAGTCGTTCAGCGTATTCCTGTCTTCTCACTCCCAACTCACAGTCTGACGCATAATCTAGTCGACCACAACTAAGAAAATCATCGGTGATAATAGGCAGTCGGACTTGTCTTACTCCTGTATGCACTTCGAACGCCTCACTGAGTTTCCCGTTGTGGATTTTGTGGCACATGTCACTCTGATATAGTTAGTTCTTGAATGAGGTTGATAAAGATTTAGACACTGCACGCTGTGGTGTCGAAGTAGTTTCCAAATTACGTGTCGATCAACGCCGTCTGTGGAATGGCTTTTCGAAGTGGATGAAGGAATTTGAGGTAGAGATTTGACTGCCATTCGATTCTTTGTTGTATGACAACGATGTAGAGAGTTGTAATTTGAAGAGCACAGGATTTGCCTTTCGTGATAACAGCTTGTTCTGGTCGGCGGGGCGGAGTTTTGTATCCAGTGCATCGTTTATTCTCTCCAGGATGATGCGACTTAGTATTTTACTTGGCGTGGACAAGGGCATGATTCCACTTGAGTTCTCGCAGAGTGAGGTGTAAGTCGCTCTTCTTTGGCAGTTTGATGAGATATCCTCTCTGCCAATTGGTGGGCACCATTCCAAACTGTTTGCAGTAATGGCGTGAGCAAGTCAACGTTAGTCTCTGGGTCCGTTTTCAGTGCTCCGGGAAGGGAGAGTTCCGTCTGGTCGTGCTGCCTTCCTGACCGGCTTTCAGTGCCTTGATCGCATTCAGGATTTCTGCTTTCGTTGGAGGAGTGGTGTCCACTGGCAAGCAGTTCTGTGTGTGCTGTTGGTGGTGGTGTTTTTGGGCGAGCTGCCGGTGGTGGCCGATTCAAGAGTCCTTTAAAGTGATCAGCCTATTGTTTGAATTGTTTCTCCTCCTTGGTGATCAGGTTCGCTTGAGCATCTTTTATTGGTTTCATCATCTGGGTTGATCTGTTCCCGGATCGGATAGAGACTTTGTTATCTGATATAGTGTCCTGATGTCTCCTTTGCTTTAGGACTGCCTGTTCTGCTTCAGT